ATACAACTTTAACCCCTTTGAGGCACGTGAAGGGGTTGACTTATCAAATTCAAATTTTACCAAAATTATCTTGTCAATATACCAAACAAAATTTCGAGCCCATGACATAACATTAATGAAGTTCATAAATAAGGACCACCCTAATATATATATATATATATATATATATACAATATGTATGTACATATATTAATGTAGGCATTATTTTAAATTTTAATTAAAAAAAATCATATAGTATATTTTTCTAGGCTAGTATTGCGATGTCGCCAATTAGCAAGAAAACGATTTGCTGCTCTAAGAGAAGATGTTTTGGCAAAAATCGAGTTATTAGAAAATAAACATGTGCACGATGTTGTAGGTCAATTGCATGCTATTGCTTCACAAATGGCCAGTTATAATTGTGAAATAAGTCAAATGATGCTTGGAGGAGGAAACAGTAGTAGTGAACCACCACTATTTCCTATTGAGATGGATTTGACACGTACTGCATTTCAATATGAATCCGTCCAGCCACCAGTTAGTGATTGCTTTCAAGATGATCAAGATGATGTAAAAAATAAAATTATACAAAAAAAAAAAAATAAAAACATTACTTATTAATTTTACTTTATAAACTTTATTTTTAATTAGGACAATTTACTTGCTCAAGCAGATAATCCAAGAGTTTACCGGGATACACCACCATTATCTCAAAAAAATGATGAGCCTATTTCAGCTTTGACAGAATTAGCACAGTTACATTTGAATACAGAGAAAACAGATACTGAAAACACTGAAAATCAAACTCAAACAGTAACTTCTCCATTACTTTTAGATCTATAATAATTGTTTATATTTTTTTTTTCATTTTTTTTGAAAATCAGTATGTATTTATTTCTACTCATTTTTTGTTTATCGCATAAAGTATGCTTTCTACTAGTACCATTCCTTTTACTAGTCGCACTTATCTAATCATTTTATTGTATTTATTATTTTTATCAATATAAATTATTTAATCATTTTTTTTTTTTTTTAACCTATCAAACTGATAAAAATTCATATAAAATCTACTTATTTTATGAAATCTATGAAGTTTGTATTAATAATATTATTTTTGTTGGAATCACATTCTAATTTTATTTTATTACATTTATCTATATTATGTACATTTATCCCCTTCACCGAAAAAGATCATAAAAAATATAAGCTTCAATCTATCAAAATATGAAAATAATATTTCTTAATGGCTATTGAATTGAAAAAAAAAAATTGAAGTTCATCAAATTATCCATCTTTTAACTTCATTGTGATTGCATTTTATACCTAACTTGTTTGTGTAATTAAAAGGATAATTCTTGTGATCAATGCTATAAAAGTATTATCTTTTTAATGACTAATCAAGATTTCTCATTAGTTGGTGTTAAGAAATATTCTGAAATCCCTTAATTTATAAAACTTTCTTGAAAATTCAAAATATTTTTTTCTTTGGGTAAATTCTTATGTTTACTGAAACATGGTATTTACAGAATTTAGTGTATGCCACGTGTACATTTATATAACTTAGTATAATTATTATTTTTATTATTTATTTATATGTTATGTTCTAGTTGTGAAATTGCTCATTTTAAGAAAAGCAGTTTTTTCCTATATTTTGCTCAATTCATGAATTGGTCATAACAAAAAAAATATTTTAACTTAGTACAAATTCAAATATTTATAATTTTATTACCCTTTTAAACAGATATTAGATATAAATTGATCTATTTCTTATATAATTAATATTTCTTATAAATATTTTAAATACTGAATGAAACTTTGATGTGTACTTTACTTTTTTATGCCTGTGTACACAATTTTGACCAAGAGTGTTCTAATATCACCAAATAAAAAGTAAAATATAGGGAATAGGTTCTAGTTGGTATGAATTGGCAGAAAAGTAATTTTTAATTTTTTTATATTTTTCCTAACGATTGAGAAAAATGAAAAAAAAATTTAAGAATTTCAATTAAGTTCTGAACCCTGACTACTAATAATTGTATATTATTTTAACAAGTTTTTTTTTCAAGTCTGTATACACGATTACACGATATTGATAATTGCTCTGATTTCGATAATCGTAACAGATTTCTGATAGAGAATGTTGTTTGTTTAGTTAGTGCTTTTTAGGGGTAATTTTACTCATTTTCTAACAGTTTTCTTAATAATTCCGAACAATTAACATTAATTTATAAAAATATGGTAACACTCACAGAATGTACTGGTTTAAAATGTAATTTTTATATGTTTACGATGACCACATACAATAATATGAAAGGGGCATGGACAAAGTTGAGAACTCATACTGTAAAAGCATTGAAACGCGCAGATCTGTATTTTAGAGGGTATTTATAATACTTTTAAATATGTAGGTATATTTAATATGCTATAATGTATAAATAATTATATAAACATAATTTATATTTTTTATATTATAATATATTAGTCCCATTGTATATGTTTTCCTTGAATCTTATATATTTTTTTTGATAGTTTGAATTATTTATGATATGTACTTTTGTAGTCAATTGCACCTGTTATATTATCATCATAAGATTTTTCACGATAATTTAGAAAATTTAGATTAATTTTCCCTATTACGAAACATAATTAATATTTAATTTGAGCAACATCAGTAACAATTTTTAAAATTATAAATTTTAGATTTATTTATTCAGATTTGTTGGTTAGTTTACAAAAATGTTTTTATTAAAAACGTGCAATATACAAGTTACACAACACTGGTTCATTTTATAAAAACTAGACATAAAATTATAAAGAAAAGAGTGAGAAGCAAAAAACTTGATACAACAGAACGAGTATGTGGGTACACTACTGGGGAAGGGAGCAAAAGTGTTTTTTTGAAAATTGAAATCATTTTAATTTAATTTGGCATCTTGTCATCACGGCGTAGAATCACATATTCTAAAATTATTGTTTTCTTTACTTTCGGTTAACAAGTAATAGATATTGGACCACATCTACATAAAACGTAAAAAAATCAATAATCATGCATTGAAACATCTATGTTAAAATAATATTTTATAGGTTCATCTGAACTAATAAGTTCAAAACAATAAAATTGTTAGCATATAATAAAAGTTTACACTACTTTGTGTAGTAACATATCAGTCATGTTAATAACATTAGCTAGTAGCTTTTTTTTTTTTTTAATTTTGTACTTTGAATACTACTTAACTATAAGTATCACAAATCATATTATTTATATATTTAATATAAATATATATATATATAAATTTATTAATAAGCAATACAACAGTATTGTATATACATATATATAAATTATATTAAAAATTGGTCATAAACATACAAATCAACATGTTTTTAAACTAAAATCATTAATATCAAACAATTGAAATTTAGATGTACCGCTTCCACCAACAGCTACTAAAAATGGGTAATCAGTACAACCATCTAAACTATGTAATGCACCAGAAAATTCTCTAATTTTAATTAAATGTTTATTTTGCTTATCCCATACTTTTAGTGTTTCATCTGTTGAAGAGGTAATAATAAATTTATCCCAAACATAAATTCCAGTGACTTCATTTTCATGGCATGTATACTTCCAGAGTGGCTTATCAGCTCGGCAGTCATAACATATGATTTTACCTCTGTCAGTACCGACATAGCACAAAAATCCATTGGATGGATCCCATAAAGTTTTTTCTACTTTACCTTTGATAAACCAGTCTTTATATGTATCATAAGTACGGCAATCATAAACATAAAAATCTGATGAACCAACTGCAAGTGTTTGTGATTCAAACGGATGCCATTTTAGTGATTGAATATGATCACCAAAATTTTCCATTCTTGTATGAGGCTCACTTGTTTCTACATCCCATAGTAGAATAGTCTCATCCACTGAACCACTGGCAATTATATGAGGTAAATGTTCATTCCATGATATATCCAAGATGGCATCTGTATGTCCATAATTCTTTTCTGGATTTTTTTTCTTTTTTCTACCTAATCTAAAAAGGTTAAAAACAAAAATTAGGTTATAACATCTTGCAATTTTAATTCAACAATGGTTGAAATGTATTATAATATTTACCTATATGTAGGTTCCACACTTCCAATCAAATCCAAATCCCATACATCGATCACGGAGGACATGGATCCTAGAGCACAGAAATTTCCCATAGATCCGAACCATTCTAAACATAACGGTGGGTGTTTCAAAATTACATCATGATGAATGTAAAAATCTTTGTCATTGCCATTGTACACATAAACTTCCAATGAGCATTCGTTTTTCTTAACATTACCAACTAACACTAGATTATCGTCGGGCTTAAGAATTTCATCGAGTTTGTCGCTGTCAGTATCAGAATCAGCTATATCATTACTGTATACTGCCAAATTACTAACGGCCATAGCTCCCGTCATGTTCATGTCTTCATCGTCATAATTCTCTAAACCGTAGTCTTGATTACTTCTACCAGGTCTTTTTTCTTTTGCTGTTAGTTGTTGTAATTCTTCTGTAGACAATTTGATAGTGTTTTGGTGTAATGAGACACCTTGTTTCACCCATTTCACGCATGGAATAAAACTTGACATGATCAATTTCACAAATTTTGAGCCAATCGAATTCAAATTTTTAACAAATAAGAAGGAAATAACATCCGATCAACAATTCAAATGTTGGTGGTCGACACACCATACGTATAGGGTCCACGTGATATTGTTTGTATTTATTTATGAAGTGCAACACGTTTTATCACTGAACGGCTGTCTTGAAGATAACATCACGGATTATATTTAATATAATCTGTGATAACCCCAATGTAACGCAGATTGACAAGCACGGTTTAAGTCGATAATTAAAAAAACGTCACAAGTGCGACCGTGTTCGGTAGCTATATTTATACATCAAATCGTCAGGGAATTAGTTGGTCTGGAAGCAGACGAGTGGCACGGCTGTTACAAAACTTTGAGTAATTTCTATTCATATTTTTAAACTTTAAACTCAAGCAGCTACTAAAATGAATCAAAAAAGAAACGTTCCGTCACCGATTAAAAGCATATTGGATGTCGACGCAAAACTGACATCAGTTTTATGTAACACCGTCTCCAAGTTTTTGCCGTCTAACAAATTTTTTACTTATTATAGAGGATTAGAGGTAATGTGAATGTTTCAAATATTTATTACGTCACTTATAATATGACTAATAATTTATTAATATTATGTTTCATGAAATAAGTATTCATGCCATGGAATCGTATGGATTGCTTGTTGGTTGGCATTCATTTGGTTTGTATGGTCACGGCCCTTGTTTCAAATGCAAGTTAACTTCCTTGTTGGTTAGTTATCAAAATTTATTTGTTATTTAACATTATAATTTTTAAAATATGATTTCAGAAACTCTTTTAATTAAGTATTGAAATTTAAATTTTTAATTGAAAATCTCGTTTTTTTTATTTTTTTTACATGCACATCTTTTTTTATAATTTTATTAATATGAATAAATCATATATTTATGTTTCTTGATATTTCTATACTCCTAAACAATTAAATTTCTAATTCAGTTACTAATGTCTCTGGTGATTTACTAAGAAGACTTAAATATAATTTAAGTAGAAGTGTTCAATATATAATTATTAAAAAAAAAATATATAATCACTAATGAGACATAATTAAATTAATATTGAAATTTATTTTTTAAGTTAACTAATTTATAATGCCATATTTATTATTGTTATATTTAAAATATAAATGTAGATATTTTTTTACAATGAATATTTAACTATAATTTTATTCCATATGTTTAGGATTATTTATTGATATTATTGTGGTTGCTATAATAAAAGCATTTGTCCGTCGTCGTCGACCAGTGGGTAACAGGAATGATCAATGGGTTTCAATTGGTCCAGATGCTTACTCATTTCCTTCAGGACATGTGTCACGTGCAATTTTCATCACATTTTATTTTTCTAAATTATATCCATTAGATAACTTAATAGTTCTATTTTTAAGTATTTGGGCAATAGCTGTATCTTCTAGTCGGATATTATTAAGACGTCATTATTTGTTAGATGTAATTGCTGGAGTTATATTAGGATATTTGGTATGTGTAGGATTATCTATGATTTGGTTGGATCAAAGTACAGCCGAGTATATTGTTTCTTATGTATCAGATGATAAACTAGATGGTGGAGAATATCATGTATGAATTTTATTTTTTATATAATACAATAATATGCAATAAACAATTTATAATTATTAATCATGTATATTTTTAAATAAATTTAAAGACTGTTCAATAATTGTGAAATAATATAAATCTTAATTTAGTGTTACGAAGATTTTAATTTTTCTATCTGTAAAAAATATATTTATTGAAATAAATTAATACATTTCAACTAGATTATGAGATTATTGAAATAATAATGCATGACGATTACATGCAAAACAATGTTATTTTTTCATACTAATAGAACATGACTCAGTCCCGTGGTTACAAGTTAACTCTGTAAGACAATTTAGGACAAATAATTATGTAGATTTTTTTGATTTAATTAAAATGCATTTTTAATAAATTAAAAACAAATTCTAATTAAGTAAAATAATGAATTATTTAATAATAAATAAGCCCATAACAATACATACATATAGACAAACACATAAATCAAAATATGTATTTAATATTCTAAAAATACCCAGTTTTTAAAATGATTAACATTAATAATAAAAAATTATACAAAAATAATTTAGATAAAAAAAGTTATGGTGGTATAAGTTAAATCTCTAATTAAAAATTAGTTTTAACTTATATATGAACCAACAAATATAAAATTTTGTTTGTATTAACAAGTCCTATAATTAAAGGTCAAACATTTTTTATTTTACATTAATCATAAATAGTTAATTATATAATTTAACTATTTTTACTCTTAGAAATCGAATTAGAAAACTATATTTTGATTTTAACCTTCGTGGTCATTATGAAATCACTAACTACACAATTTAGTGTACCTCAATACAGTATATACATGTATATAGATTGTAAAGTAAGATAATTAGTAAGTAAGATATTGTAAAGTATAGATTGTAATCATGGAAATTAAATTGATTTTCTCAGAATTAGATGAATTAAAAGGCAACATCTTATAAAATAAATAGTATTTAATTAACACAAGTGAATAAAAGCATTTTGAAAATGACAAAGTAAAATAAAAATTTAAAATGTAGCATATTTTTAAAAAAAACAAAACACTAAGATGTTTTTAATCATATTAGATTTATTTTACATAAGAAACCTACTTAAGATTAAAAAGTTCTTAAAATATTACTTAATAAAAAAAATATATCATTTATAATAATAATTTTATTTTATTTTAAGTTATAAGAAATTAATGTACTACAAATATCTTAGTAACTGTTAAAATGTATAATAATAAAATATAGTTGATCGATCCATATGAAAAAAAATATATATATGTATATCTAGGAACAATCAATAACATTAAAAATTAGTATGCTTAAAATATTAAACTGCAAAAAAGATGACTTATAAAAATATTAATAGTGTCAGGATTATGATAGTTTCTTTGTTAAAAAAATTCAGCTACAGTCTTGTCTATATAAAATTACAATAATTGTAGTTTAAAATCCAACACATGAAAACATTAAGTTTATTTATTACAAATATTTATTAAGTCTTTAAAAGGAAAATTAATTTTAATACAAAGGTTATCAACATCGAGGATGATAAATATAGTAAACATACAAATACAATTATTTTTTACAACAAAAATTTAAAATATTAAATGTTAATAATACATAATTACTTGCATTACTTATGTTGAAATATAAAAATATATTTAAAATCATTACTATTGATTAAAACTGATAAGCCACTAATAGTGTAGTTAATATATATGTATATATATATTTATTTATTTTTTAAGCGAATGGCAACAGTGTAATTTAAATAAAGACAAAATCAAAATTGTTAAAAATTAGTATACTATCTATTTTTTTTAAAAATTCATTAGAATTGCAGTAATATTTAGGATTAGTATAAATTAACACAAGTTAATAAAACACAGTAAAATAATATTTAACAGTTAAAAAGCTTCCACCTGCTAAAATGGGTGATATAAAAAGATTACCATAATTGAGTGTGAAAATTCTTGATATCTAATTTGGGATGAGAGTGGTTTGATTTGTGTCCATCACCTTCGTTCATGACATGTTGATGTTGCTGCTGTTGATTTTGTTGCTGTTGTTCTTGTTGGATTTCTACATAATGTTCATTCTTCTGCTGCTTATTTTCTCTTTCTTGATTTTCAAATCTATAAAAAAAAAATCTTCATAAGATACTTTAACATTAAAGAAGGCATTTTAAATAATTAATAATTATTAACTTTACCGATTTTCATTTCCGCTTTGGTTTTCATTTTGTTTTGCTCCATATAGTATCTGAAAATTGAATATTATACAAATTGCAATATTATTATAAAGTTAGATTATACATTAGCCATGCAATCTTGTTGTCTAGAAGCACCATGACGCCCAAATGTTGCTTGACTTTTATATCCACTAGAACTATAAATAAAATATAAATAAAAAATAAAAAATTGTTGTTATGAGTTCAATAATATTCATCACTTACCGATCATGACCTGATTCCTTTTCCAAATAACCTTTATATATATATATATATAAAAAAAAAAAATTATAAAAAAAATTAAAAAAAAAACTAACTTATTACATTACCATCACTTTCAAAAAATTCTTCAAAAATCACAAAATTATTCCCTTGATTTACTAATTTGGACAAATTAAAATATTTCCATAAAAATTGTAGAAGTTTATTTGTAGGTTGGTCAACAGCTAATTGTCTTGCTTGAATTTGGTTGTCCTAATTAATAAATGAGTCGTAAATTTATATTAATGTAAAAATATTATAAAATGTATTAATACTTTTAACATATATTCCATAAGTTTTATTCCATAGCCGTGGCGTTGTCTAGTTTCATGAATGTAAAAATCAAGCAGACAGTAAACCATTGCTTCAGTTCGCGATCCTTTTTTATTAAACAAATATAATTTTTTCCAGCCCATTTTTAACAAACCAACCACAACAACATGTCTAAAATTCATATTTTTTATAAATATTATTTAATATAAATATATTTATTATCATTTACCCTTGTGGGGTATGTTCCGTCATCAAATAAAGTGTATGATCTGAACGCCTTAGTTTTTCAGCTGAAGTAATTGGAGATTTTAACTCTTGTGCAATACCTGAAGCTTCTCCCATTTTATCCAAAATATTAGAAATAATCATTTGTAGTCTATAAAATAATTTTTATAACTTTTTATTAAATTAAATAAAATTATATACAAATAATTATTTTTTCAAAGCATCTATAAACAAATTACTGATGCTAGATAATTTATAAAAATTATTTACAGTAAAATATTTAAATTTTTTTTCAAATAAATATAATTATATAATATTAAGTTAAGTAATATTATATTAATGAATACTAATATGTAAAAAAAATGTTATAAATTTAAACTCTTCTAACTTAATGTGCATTATCATAATAATAAATTATTTTTTTTCCGATTCTCTGTTCTATAAATATGCCTTTGTATATTTAAGGAATAACATTGAAAATATAGCGTGGCCTAGTGGGAAAAATAATATGACCATCGGTGGTATGACAGTCAACATATTAAAAGATCAAAATTCAAAATGAAATTAATTTTATTATATAATATACTTGTATCTACTTGTTAAACAGATAGATGTATAAATTAAGAAATATTTTGCACATCTACATTTAAGTACATTTTAACCGTTGTATATCTCTTATTAGTAAAGGACAACAATGTCATGAATTTCGAAAAAAAAAAATTGTTTTTAATTTTTTTGAAATTAAGTCCTTAAATATTAAAAAATGTTAAGAAATTAGGTAACAAATTATTTTATTAATGAGTTCATCATTCTTTAATTTACTAAAAAAAATAGTAAACTATAATTAATTGTGCTAAATTTTAGATGAAATACTTGGATTTACAGATTTGACAAATGAGATACATTAAAACTGTTTAAGAAAACATCTTTCTAGTTATGGAGTAGGTACTTAATATATACTGAAAACCAACTTCAATTTTATAATATTATAAAAAAAAAAAAAAATTAATTGATGCCAATTAACATAATTCAAGTCCAGACTCCTAAGGTTTAGAGCCAAACGGGAAAGTGAATTAAATAACATGGATAATGTGCATTTCCAATTTTTGGAGAATTTAATATAAAAATGTACAAACTCGGGGTCATCTTTTTGGTAACCGACGGGTAACAGCGTGTTGTCGATTTTGACAATCTGCTGTTGGGCGATCTGGCTCAAATCAAACTGGAACTCCATGTTTTTCCTTTGGTAAAGACACACGTTTATGAATTATGAGAAAAATGGTTAAATAAATAGTAACGAAATCGAGATCTTTATACTATAGAGCGGGTTAACAATGTTCAGAAGCTAGTTAACGTCCAGTAGCAAAATTGCTTGTCGAACTGGAACGCAATGGCTTACTTTTTTTCTGATAAGTAACTTAGAAAAGGTACAAAGAAAAATAGGAAGTGGAACAGACCTCAAGATTTTATGGACTGTATTTTGGAGAATTCCCAGTGTTCCGTTTACGGTTTACCGTTATACATGCTTACGTGATAAAGAATAATTTAAACACAGTAAACAGTGACCGTGACGGTATTGACATTAGCGAGGTTTTGTTGTCAGCACTGAAATTCATTTTTACCGCGTTTATTTGAAAAATTAATAATGATTGTTGAATAGGTTAATTTAGGTTAATTAGTAGTATAATAATTATACTACTAATTAACCTAATTCGTAAATAATTATACTATAATTATTTACGAATTAAATGTTGTAAATCAGTATATAAATATCTTATTATGTTAAAAATACCAAGAATTATTATAATTCGTGGTTTATATTTGTTTATGTAAATAATGAAAATATAGTTATTTACAAAAAAAAATATTCAATCAGTTCATCAATTATTATGGTAATTATTAAACTAATTTTTGAAATTGCTAATTAAAAGTTCTATTGTATTTTCAGTTCAATATTCACGGTATTTAGTCTTAGTATTTAGTCTCGTATTAGACTTATAAGGTTTTTTTCGTACAACATGAACTAAAAGTCTGTTAAATATGTAGTACGTTTATTAATTTCTTTACACAAATTTAATAAATCTACCATAAATAAAAAATTGGTTAGTGGGGAGGCTAAGTCCTTAGGCTCCTCCCTCCTTCAATGTTTAACAACTCGGAAATGAGTTAAGCACAAACAAGCACAAAAGAAACACAAATGACTGTAAAAATTTGACCTCGAAAGTCCGAGGTAGTGAGGGGGCTGAGCATGTCTCTAGTCCCCCCACCTTGAAAGTTCGATAACTCGGAAACGGGTTAAGCACAAAAGACGGGAATAAAAGCACAAACAAGCACAAACAAAACACAAACGACTGTAAAAATTTGAACTCGAAAGTCCGAGGTAGTGGGAAGGCTGAGCATGTCCCCAGTCCCCCCCTGAAAGTTCGATAACTCGGAAACGGGTTAAGCACAAACGACTGTAAACATTTGAACTCCAAAGTCCAAGGTGAGTTCGAGGGGGGGCTGGGGACATGCAGCTCTAAAATATATAACGTTAAATTTTCTACAAAATAAGGATCTTGATCCAAAATGAAGGTTGATAATTGACATTCTTTGAAGTTTTTTGTCCTTTTTTTAAAAAAAAAAAAATCCATGAACCTTACAACAAAAATTTACATTTTTCAATTTGTAGAGATTGTAAATTTTGTATCTTATAATGTTAAAATCAATAGTTTTGACAGAATATCATAGGTACAAAATATATTTTATATGGTTGCAATTAAACAGCGTTTATGCGTTTGAAATACATTTGTAACAATTTCGTATATAATTTTTCGTGGAACACCAACATCATTTATACATACTACTAGTAATATAGTTATAATAAAAATAATCTACGTTATTAACTTATTAGTTGAAAAGTTGAGTAGTTATTAAGATTATAACACTGTGTAATTAAACAATGATAATATGTCATATATTAGGTAATAAGATTTAACATTTCATACATAACATTTATTCTAGAAATAAACATAATTATTATATTATATTATTTTCGTATTAACTAATTATCGTTTTCCTTATTATTCTTAAAATTTACAAAAAACTCAGTGCATATATATTTGAAGATATTTAATTTTGAATATATTGCACAGGTAAATACCGAGAGTTTTTATACCTCATTAAAAAAAATAATTCTTTAAAAAATCAATAATTATAAGTTGAAGTACTATAAAGTTACTATCACAGTCAATCAAGAATGCAAATATAATTTTTTTTAAATAGTATTGCAATATTTATAATTTAATAGCTGTGTTACAAATTATAAATATTAAATGTTTATGTGTTAATATAAGCTATTGTATACACTTACAAAAATCCGTTGTGTTAATTTATCTTCTGAAGGTCTAGGATATTAGGCCTTGATCGAAGTAAAATACTCCTGACTAACCTAATAATCTGACACATTTATATGCAGGTCATATTTCTTGACATAAAATCGATATTTTATTTAGCATTCCTTTATATTATTTCAATAGGAACTTTCAATTATATTTATAATACAAATTATAATCCTTATTTCGCTTTATACGATAATCAATAATATGTTTTTAACTATTTATTTATTTTCTAATTTTTTCAATTTTGTAATTAAAAAAAAATAATAATTAAGCCACATTTTCTACTAGACAAATTAATTATTTAAGTTTAAATTGATGATGTTGAAATACATGTATCAAAAATATTTATAAGTTGTATAAATAATTGATTACTTAACTATTTTTTAATTTTACATAAATTTAAAAAATAAGATTAAGTTCAGATTAATTACCACTACCGAAATTAGCTATTAAAAGGTGTACATTTAATTTAATATAAATGCTCACCACCACTCAAATAGTGTAATGATTATCTTTATTTTATTTTTTATTAAATACAAACGCATTTTAGGTCATGATTAAAGACCGGATATAATTGCATTAAAAATATCTTAAAATTGCATTAAAAAGATGCCAAAATTGCAATGAAAATGTATCAAAATTGCAGTATAAATATGTTAAAATTGCAATGAAATACATTAAAATTACATAGTAAAATCATATCAAATATATAATCATTAATTACTTACTTAAATAATATAATGGACATTTATATAATATTTACAAAATATATCATTTTTCTGAATTAAAATTTAAAATTAATCTTATAAATCTTATAATTAATATTTATAATTAAATTAATTTATAATTAATTTATAACATCTCTAAATTGTGTTCTTGAAAATTGTATCGTCTGTTACTTAAAATATGTTTATATAATGAAAAAGTACGTTCAACGTCGACACTTGTCATTGATGCATATTTAAAATAGTTTAAAAATTGGATGTTATATCTAAATAAACATTTTAATTTCCTGTTATAATATCAGAGTAAGTTTTAATACTTTTAAATCCTTCATTTTTTTCTAAGACATATTTTAATTTATCTTTAACTATTTTTCCATTAGGACCGGGAATATTTATAGAAATATTTATACTAAATATTTTTATTTAGTTAGTATTTGTTTATTTATTTATTTAGTATTTATACTTAATATGTTTAAACTATTAAGTAATTGACATATTTGATTCTTTTAAACTTGTGAGTTTTGTGGATAACCCAGATAAATATAATTTAAAAAATCCTAAACTACATTTAAGTACACGTAAAAATTTACGTCGTAGTTATATTATTTTTGTAAAATCATTATCACGTGATGCATACAAAAATTGCAATAATTGCAAAAAATTGCAAAATCGTTGAAAATTATAAAAAATTGCATTATTAAATTAAATAGAAAGACTGTAATTAATCTGATTCATATACATATATGATCAGATTTGATTTACTGGGTATCAATAAAAAGTTGCAATATCAACTAAATCCGTTCTTTAGTCATGATTATTTTGTTTATACATTTATTTTTTTATCTATGTGTTAGTGTTATTTATTATTATTTGTCAGCCATCTAATTTTTGAGAATAACAGTTAAAACGGGTATGGTCAAATTGCACTTATTTAGTCGAATTAGGTTAAAAAAGGTAATGGTCGTACTGCACTCGGGTAAAAAGCAATTAGTGGTCGAACTGCAATCGGACTCAAAAAAGTAATTTCAGCAAAAATATTATGCAATTGAAATGGTTAAACGATTATAAAACTATCATTTTCTTTCCCACAAACAGAAAAAAAAAATGTATAAAAACATAAAATGTAATAAATAAAAAATAAAATAAATAAAAATATAAAACATAAAAAAAATCATTGTTTGATGTAAATTAAGTGGTTCTTCATGATTATGTTTTAACTCAAATCGAAAAATAACTGTAGAACATTCTTATATATATTTTTGAAAGACAACCACAATAGGTACAACGCCATTTAACACCATTATATACATATTTTTTTTTTTATAAAATGTAAAATGTGAATATACAATTACGGCTTAATTCAATATTTATAATTTTTAAATCGTTCATATTTACACAGCGACTTAAGTGTGTACTAGTTGTAGTTTACGTAATTCTACATAGTAAGTGGTATAAAATATTATTTAGCTTTTACTTACTGGTATATCTATTTAGTACCCGTTAAATTAAATTTGTTCGTGGATTTTCGGCGATAGTAATTATCTGCGTTACCTAAGTGACATTCACGAATTACATGCTATTAAATACACCGTAATATTCGTCAACAAAATTTTTTAAAGTATTTTAACGTTCAATAAGATTGGACTTTCATTTATCTGCGGACTAAACATAGGCGGATATTTGGTTTCATCTGTTGGAGGGCTTAACATTTTTGTCTTATTCATTATCGGGAACAAATATTTTTAGTCGCTTCCGACGCTTACACCTACTAACTGTAGTGGCTACTTCTATTTGATTCTAGCTGAGGCACCAAATATATATATATATAGGTAATAGGAACATAAAAAAATAAAATATTGAAAAGCTACTAAATTATTCTTATTTTAATTGTATAAATCTATTTTTTTGTGCAAATATATTAACAATTGTTTCAGTATTAATAGATTTAGAAATTTATTTTATAATATATAATATTGAGGTGTTGTTAAACCTTTCCTACAGCATAGAAGTTCGAAGCCAAGTTTTTATTCTACGCATGGCCGAAAAATTCCTTTCATAAGTGGAGGAACTCATAGAAATTGTCAAAGCAACTTGAATTGTATTCAATCATTGAATTTGTTCCTAGTTTAGTGAATCTCAGTTAATTTTTGAATTTTTGATGGATGAGAAAAAATGTATACATACGTATACGTACAGGGATTCTTCTAAAGTGTTGAACACATGCTTTGTTTCCTAATATTAATATAAGTAATAAATAAAATCATGAAGATGTATATAAACATTCATTACCTTTATATATTTACACATATCAATTACAATGAGGTTCATTTTATGAGCCATACAATGGGTATAAATAGCGTAAAGCTCAATTCACACTAGAGGTCTCAGTTCGGTTCGATCATGGTCAAGTT